AATTCGAAAAAAACTTCCTCTAATTCGCATAAAAGTTGATACCCTCGCTTGAGGTGGCTTTTCGTTTATTTTATTTTATTTTTGAAAAAGACTAAATGCGCAAACGGAGAGATGGAAACACATTTGTCGAATAAGTTCTGACGTAGCGAAATTTACCTCACATAGTTGATCAGTTGTTCTCTCTGTCTGTCCGAAACCAGTACCGGTACCAGAGCGACTGCAGCTGGACCCTCCTCCTACAGTCGGCGTCTTCTCAGTTATTCCCGTAACGTGAAGAGAATTACATTTCTTTCTCTACGTCTCCAGACATCATGTAACGTCGCCAAAACTAGTTGATGACAGAATAAGTACTACTTTCCTGATAGTAGCAACACGTTCCTGATAACTTCTCTCCATTTTCCTGAGATGTGACTTTTACTTCCTGTTTACTACACGCATGCGTCTGACGTAAWTGATTCGCTTCAAGCCAGTTGATGGAAACACGTCTGATTCACATTTATTCATTTTTTTCCTTTTTGCAAATTTTTAAAAATTCGCTCAAAATTCGAATTACAATTGGATGGCACACGGCTAGTGTTGTTGTTGGATTGGATTGTTCCTAACATGATAAGACTGACACTTGAGTTTTTCTACTTTCAGTACACTGCTCCTGATCCAAACGTGCAATTGTGCACCTAAGTAAACAGGAAGTGCCAAGAGAAAACATAAAGACTGGATGAAACAATCATGTCAGATAATAATAGGGATGGGTACCTTTGACGTTTGAACCAATTCGGTACCAATATCCGGTACCTGGGAATCGATACCGGTACTTAACGGTACCAATTTTCGGTACTTTATGTGTTGTTTTTTCAATAATAAACTATATTTTTTTATTTAATATATTTCTCAATATATGACAACAAGACAACATCCATCTCTTTGTATTGTAACATCAGTTGTGTAACTTATTTCTTTAAGGTGAAAACTGTTGAAAACAACAGGACTGTTTTGTCTTATTGCACAAATTAAAATCCAGCTCCACGTGTTTCTATTGATGTCATTTTCCCACTAGAAAAATGTGTGATGGAGGTCCATGGAAGGCAAATAAGTTTTAATCAAATAAGCAAAAGAGGATGCAGTTAAAATAAATAAAAGGTATTCAAGAGTGCAACAGTAACAGTGGTCTAAGTCTAGGATAGGTTTTACTCAAGACAGCTACAAAAGAAGAGGTCTAAAACTAAGATAAGTTTTATTCAGGACAGCTACAGCAAAAGTGGTCTAAGTCTAGGATAAGTTTTAATCAGGACAGCAAATGTTAAAGTGGCCTAAGTATAGGATAGGTTTTATTCAGAACAGCTACAAAAGAATTGGTCTAAAACTGGGATAAGTTTTATTCAGGACGGCAACAAAAGAATTGGTCTAAAACTGGAATAAGTCTTATTCAGGACAGCTCCAGTTAAAGTGGTCTAAAACTGGGATAGGTTTTGATCAGGATAGCTACAGTTAAAGTGGTCTAAGTCTGGGATAAGTTTTATTCAGGACAGCAACAGTTAAAGTAGTCAAAGTCCAGGATAAGTTTTATTCAGGACAGCTACAGTTAAAGTGGTCTAAGTCTAGGATAAGTTTTATTCAGGACAGCAACAGTTAAAGTGGTCTAAGTCTAGGATAAGTTTTATTCAGGACAGCAACAGTTAAAGTAGTCAAAGTCCAGGATAAGTTTTATTCAGGGCAGCTACAAAAGAAGTGGTCTAAAACTGGGACAAGTTTTATTCAGGACAGATACAGTAAGAGTGGTCTAAAACTGGGATAGGTTTTATTCTGAACAGCTACAGTTAAAGTGGTCTAAGTCTAGGATAAGTTTTATTCAGGACAGCAACAGTTAAAGTAGTCAAAGTCCAGGATAAGTTTTATTCAGGGCAGCTACAAAAGAAGTGGTCTAAAACTGGGACAAGTTTTATTCAGGACAGATACAGTAAGAGTGGTCTAAAACTGGGATAGGTTTTATTCTGAACAGCTACAGTTAAAGTGGTCTAAGTCTAGGATAAGTTTTATTCAGGGCAGCTACAAAAGAAGTGGTCTAAAACTGGGACAAGTTTTATTCAGGACAGATACAGTAAGAGTGGTCTAAAACTGGGATAGGTTTTATTCTGAACAGCTACAGTTAAAGTGGTCTAAGTCTGGGATAAATTTTATTTAGAACAGCTGCAGAAGAAGTGGTCTAAACCTGGGATGGGTTTTGATCAGGATAGCAACAGTAAAAGTGGTCTAAGTCTATGATTTTTTTTTATTTTTCAGGACAGCTACAGTTAAAGTGGTCTAA